CCCCCCCCCCCCCTCCCCCAGTCTGTCTGCGCACCTCCTCTCCTGGTTTGATCTGTCTCTTGGCCACAATGATGATCTTCTTCTTCTTTGTGCCTTCGAGGTTGACGATTCGAGCGATGGCATTCGGCTGCCAAAAAACGAGAACAATAAAATACACACACGCCCGTCCCGTTCGCATTTGGTAGTTCATTAAGACACGAGGATATCAATCGCTTAGGTCCGTGGAGTTAACGTAGCTCGTTCAATGCTACTGAAACAAACACACGCACGACGCAGGGCACCAGCGAAGAGTTGTCCTTCTTTCAGTTGAAATAAACTGTTGGGCCTGTCAGAAGGTCAGTCCATGCGGAACATCTGGCGTAGGTAGGTACTCCGACAGCATCCGGGGAAAAGTCTATTTTTCCATTGTGTTGCTGTCCACTATTGTAGTTCTCTGTTCAGGCGGGGAGAAGACACTCGACCTGTCTCGTGCAAGGTGTGTCGTTTTCGTCCCATCAATTCCGGGCGCAAGTCTAGTCCAGCCTCATTCAGCACCTATTTAACGGTATCAGCCGGATGTCACATATGAGGCATCCAACACAGTTGGACACTCTTCGTCCACTTTCGTGTGCAACATGAAAAAAAGCGTCGGTACCTCCCTGCATACCACACACCAAACCAGAGAGCAGTCCCCCAAACAACCGGACCCTTCGGTCCCCGCGAGGGGCACAATACAACAAGACTCACGTCGCAGCAGTGGTTGATGAACCGCGCCAGGTTACCCTTCCGAGTAGCGTCCACGATAGCGTCGGCGTCTGCGCGGAAGAGGTAGCAGCTGCCGACGCCCATCTCCTCGTACTTGACTTCTCGGAGGTCTGCCACACACTGCCGCACAACCTCACCCATGTACTCCACAAGCATGGCGTCTACGCACCAAAAAAAGAAAACAAAGTCGGGTTTGGGTCATGGAGGAGTGAAGAGTTGAACATGAGCGTCAACTGATGAGAGCGTTCGCGAAAACAACGAAGTTAGGATTGGGCCACGAGGGACAGATGCCCACCGAGAGGTCAACAAGGAGAGATCGGCAAAACCTTGTCGTAAAAACACGGGTGAAAATGTTGGGTTGTCAGAACCCAGCCGCATCTACTATCCCAACCAGCACCGCCATCTCCACCTCCGCCTCTAATCCCACCACAACTGCTATCACCACTACTGAATCCACGATCACAACAACAGCAACAACAACAACAACAACGACAACAGCAACAACAACAACAACGACAACAACAACGACAACAGCAACAACAACAACAACGACAACAGCAACGACAACAGCAACAACAACAGCAACAACAACGACAACAGCAGCAACAACAACAACAACGACAACAACAACAACAACAACAACAACAACAGCAACAACAACAACAACAACAACAACGACAACGACAACAGCAACAACAACAACAACAACAACAACAACAACAACAACAACAGCAACGACAACAGCAACAACAACAACAACGACAACGACAACAGCAACAGCAACAGCATCGCTACAAACACTGCTATCGCCACCATCACCACCCCGCCAATTCAACCGCCGCCAGCAACAACACCAACGCGCGAACGCCTCATACCTTTCGGGAACTCCTCCAGCGCGAACAATCCCCAGCCGTGGATGTGAGACCGTCGAACCTTGAGCCCGTAACCCGTAGGCTGAGTCTTGAGCATGCGGTACTGGGCCTGCCAGGCCACGAGACACCGCAACAACGCCGCGCACGACACAGCAAACGAGTTTAGATCAAAGACAGAGAGAGCAATTTCGCGGCAAGAACAGAACAAAAGAAACACGAAAATCGTCCCCCCGTTGTGTTTTTTTTTCCTACAAAAGTTCAAGCACAAAACACCTACTTCCTCCGCGCACATCGTGCCACAACGAAAAAAAAAAAACAGGGACTCTCCCACCCACTGTAACGC